TATGCCGCTGAGCTAAACCTCCAGCCCCAAAACCTACGTCTTTATTCATTTATCAGTTGATAGACATTTGGGCAGTTTCCGGGATTTAACTATTATGAGCTGTGCCACCATGAACATAGATGTACGTATTCACTGTGGTATGATGCTTTTGATTCTCTCAGGAAGATACCAAGAAGGGGAATAGTTGAGTTGAATGAAACGCTTTTAGTTTTTATTTTTAGGTACTGGGAATAGAACTGAGGACCTCACACTTGCCAGACAGGTGCTATGCACTTAGCTGTATCTCTGCCTCTTACTCCCTCTCCCCCCAGCTCCAGTTTTTTGAGAAAAGTGTCACTAGCCCAAGCTGCCCTTGAACCCATAGTGATAATCCTGCCTTAGAATCTCCAGTGCTCGAATTACAGGTGTGCACCACCACTCATGGCTAGTTTTAGCTTTTTTTTTTTTTTTTTTTTGGTCTTTTTCGTTTTTATCGGTACCAGAGATCGAACTCACGACTACCTGCTTGCAAGGCAGGCGCTTATGCCGCTGAGCTAAATCCCCAGCCCCTAGTTTTAGTTTTTAAAGGAATCTCCACACTGGTTTCCATAGTAGTTGCACCAGTCTATACTCCCAAAAGTGGAAAAGGATTCCTTTTCCCCCAAAGCCCCACCATCTTTTATTATTGGTTGATTTCTTGATAACAGACATTCTTTGTAGAGATGCAATGTCAGCTTTGCTTTTGCTTTGCTTTGTTTTCCCCTTTTTGAAGCAGGGTTTGGCTCTGTAGCCCAGGCTGGCCTTGAACTTGCGGTGATATGCCACCATTCCTGGTGTTTTACTCTACTTTTTTGCTCTCCTTGTTAGCCTTGTTCCCTATCAGTGGGGTGGCCATCCCCCCATCCCAGGGCTTTTGCACACATTGCCCCCTACCTGTGCAATTGTAGGTTGACAGTGCCTTAAACACTGAACCTCTCTCTTAGAGTTCTGGTGAGATGAGCTCTGCGTGGTCCCTGCTGCACAGTGTCAGTTAGTATGCGGATGCTCATTTTGCCAACTGTTGGGTATAGGGTGATATTTGGTTGTAGACTGGATTCATGTTTTGGAATTGACTCTTTGAATAGTTTAGTTTCTGTTAACTTATTTTAAGATACAGGTGCCTTTTCATAGTATGGTGTTGATGCTTTATAGTCCCATTTCTTTACTGCAAGTATTTTTATATAAAAATACACAAGAGAGTAGGAAATTTTGCTCAGCTGCTTAAGCGCCTGTCTGGCAAGCATGAGGTTGTGAGTTCAATCCTGGGTACCAAAAAAAACCACAAGAGAAAGTAGAGCACTGTCTTGTGGTCTCAGGTCCCAGGCATGATATTGCCTTGGTCGTGTGCCTGCTAAGATGCTGCTGTGAGGTGCTGCCACTTACCTGGTTCTGGGCCACCTGGCTGTTTCTGGAAGACACTTCCCACCCACGATGGGTCAGAATGTGGTAATGACCTAGTTGTTGCTAATGGGTGGTGTAGGCTAGAGACTCTTGCGCTTTGTGGTCACTGAAATGGAAGGTTAGGAGAGGATTTAAACCCAGGTGCCTGATTTAAATTCTTGAGATTTGGGCACCTGTAACCCCTGTCCTTGCCTGTAATTCCAGCCCTTGGGAGGTTGAGGCAAGAGTGTCACCACGAGTTTGAGGCCAGTCTGAACTGCATAAGGTGTTCAAGGCCAGTCTGAACTACACCCCCTTTTCCCAAGAAAGCATGGGAAAGAGAATAGAATTTTAAGAATAGACTTAGTGGGGCTGGGGATTTAGCTCAGCGACATAAGCGCCTGCCTTGCAAGCAGGCAGTTGTGAGTTTGATCCCTGGTACCGATAAAAAAAAAATAAAATAAAATTAGTGATGTACCTCAGATTTAGAGACTGTCTTCCCAATAGAGATCTCGAGGTGGCTGTTTTACTGAGCCTACATCTATCAGTGCATCTCTGACTCCTCTTAAAGAAGCAGGCAAAGGCTGCTCCTTTGTTGTGTGGAGCTGACCCTGCATCCAACGAATAAATAACCTGGCCATGCACAAATACCTGTTATTCAGGCATGCTAAGAGGCTGAGGCAGGAGGGCATAGCTCTAACCCCTTTGAGCGATTTAATGAGAACAACCTCATCTCAAACTTAAAAAGGGTTGGAGGTGTAGCTTGGTGCAAAAGCCCTGTGTTTAGTCCTTAGTATCACAATAAAAAATGATCTGTTACCAACTTTGAATATCTTTTTTTCATGGAAAATGTTTATTTTAAAATTTTCAGGAGGCTGGAGATTTAGCTCAGCGGCATAAGCACCTGCCTTGCAAGCAAGTGGTTGTGAGTTCAATCCCTGGTACCGATAAAAAACAAAATAAAATTTTCAGTAAAGTTTATATTCACTAGTTTAATGTTAAAACCAAATATTTCGCTGGGCGTGGTGGCTCACTCCTGTAATCCCAGCACTTGGGAGGCTGAGGCAGGAGGATCCTTGCGAGTTTGAGACCAGCCTGGGCTATAAAGTGAGCTCAAGGCCAGCCTGAACTGCATATAGAGAGACCCCGTCTTTAAAAAAAAAAAAAAAAAAAAAAAAAAACCCAAGTATTTCTTTAGATACTTTTTGAGTTTTTGTCCGTTTATGCAGAAATTTAGTAATAGTTGTTCCCCAAGCCTGCCTAACTTTATTAAAGATAATTTTCATAGACAAATTCAGGATTGAGTTGTAGGAACTCATCCAACTACAAGGAGTATATATAACAAGTAGTTGAGTGCTTGAGCTTAAGTTAGAATAAGTTAAGCCTAATAGCAGTTGAGAAGAGGCATAATTGTATTTATTTACCTTTTCTATGGAGGTACTAGAGATTGGACCCAGTGCCCCATTCTTTTGTTTGCTAGTTGCTAGTTTGTGCCTAGGCTGGACTCTGAACTTGCCTCCTGCCTCAGCCTTCCAGAGAATTGGGATTACAGCTGTATGGTGCCACATCTAGTTCTTCATATCCCTTTAAACATTTTATTGAATTTTTTTTAGTACCAGGGGTTGAACTCATGTCCTCACGCTTGCCAGGCAAGCACTTACGCTGCTGAGCTAAATCCCTGGCCCAAAATTTTATTAAATTTTGAGGCAGGGTCTTGCTAAGTTGCTCAGGCTAGGTTTAAACTTTCAATCCTCTAGGTTCAGCCTCACATAGTACAAGATTACAGACAGATGTATGCAATCACACCAGCTATTTTTGGTTTGAAACAGGATTTCTCTGTGTAGTCTAAGCTGCCTCTGATCTCTTCATCTTCCTGCTTCATCTTTCATAGTGCCAAGGCCACAAACATATCCCCATCTTTATATCTGTAATCCAGCTTCCTACCGCAATGTTTTGATGCTTTGTTTTTTCATGTTTTTTACTACTGTTACTTAGAAGGTTCACATGCAGATGGTCTCTGAATAAAACCTTTTATATTTTAGCCTTCCTCTTTTTTGATCCTGGGAATTGAACCTGGGCCTTGGGCATGCTAGGCAAGCACTTTACTACTGGAGCCCTTCAGGTTTTTTTTTGGCCAGGGTCTTGTTAAGTGGCCCAGGCTGGAGGGTGACTCCTTGTGGTGGGGGGCTAACTGTGTGTCCCTATTGTGCCTGGCTTTTATTTGTTGAGTATTCTAACTACAGATGAGTATTCCCGTGTCCTACTGTTCAGTAGGCAGGCCGAATATGCTTGTCAGTTCCTGCCTACTGTCTCAGAGTAGCTGTGCCACCAATCTCTTTGGGTCCAGCAGTGCCCTCTGTGAGACCAGGCACAGTCACATCCAGCAAGCAGGTACTGTTTCCTACTCTGTGGAGATGTGTTGGGGGGAGGATCTAGTTTGCCAAACTGAATCTTTGTAATTTCACTCAGCAGAAAGAGCTAAAGGACAAAGATGGAAAAAACAACACAACCCTGACATAAGTCAGTGATGTGAAAATGGGGAAGGGGTTCATGCCCTTTACCAGATAAAGCTTTCCCAAGTTTCCCTAACCCGATAGGCTCCACACCTCCTTTCTGACTGTCTCAAAATTTGAATCTCTTACAGACTGCCAGGTGTTGCTACTTTGGACAGTGGTCCAAGTCTACCTAAAAGCTGCTGCATGTGTTCCTATGCCTGGGTTGGGAAATGGCTCACCACTTACTATAATCCTTAAGGCAGCTGGCTGGGTCATTTCCTTTTGCCTCTACTTTTGCAGATGGTTTTGCTTGTATCTTATGTGTGGCTTTTAAAGCATTAAAATGGTCTGGGGCAGTGGTGGTGAACCAGTGGTGGCATGCCCGCCAAGTTGCCCCAGCAGCTGAGCATACTATATTCAGGTTCAGTTGCAGTGTTGGCACTTTGAGATGAAAGTAGGTTTGGGGTTACAGTTTGTGCATTCCATCTCTAAAAGATTCACCATCATTGGTCCCTCCCTCCCTTCACATATATTTCCTCCTTCCTCCCTCTGGGATGCTAGGCAAAGGCTCTTTCCCTGAGCTTCATCTCTCATCCCTTACAAATCCTTTGTTAAAGAAGTGAAACTATGGGGCTGGGGGTTTAGCTCAGCGGCATAAGCACCTGCCTTGCAAGCAGGCGGTCGTGAGTTCAATCCCTGGTACCGATAAAAATGAAAAAGACAAAAAAAAGAAAAAAAAAAAAAAGAAGAAGTGAAACTAAACAGTTGTGTGGTCCTTCTCTTTGGTTTCTTGTTTCATCTCTGATTGTTTTATAGATAGAGCCGCCATTGTGGCTTAAGTTAATGGAAAATAAGCTACTCGTTAGAACTGTAAGACGAGGACAGTGGTCAGTCTTGACCTGCAGTGATAAGAGTGCATGTTTGAGACTTAAGTTGGGGCCTGCACCCTGAGTGACCCACATGGATCTTTTGGCTGTGTGTCCAAGGTTATACATTCTGTTCATTTCCTACACTTGTGTGTTTACTAGAAAAATGTGTTAGTCTTGAATTCCTTTGACATCTGGCTTTCCTCTTTCTAACGTAGCTTTATGGTTCTTTGTCTTGCAGGTATTTCATGCATGGGGTTTGTAAGGAAGGAGATAACTGTCGCTACTCACATGACCTCTCCGACAGTCCCTATGGTGTAGTTTGCAAGTATTTCCAGCGAGGGTACTGTGTGTATGGAGACCGCTGCAGGTAAGAATTAGTTTATAAATTTATTTCTGACATCAGGCGTGGTGGTGCATGTGTGTAATTCCAACATTCAGGAGGCTGAGGCAGGAGGATTGCTGTGAGTTCTAGGCCAGCCTGAACTACATGGCAAGACCCTGTCCTAAAAAACGCCCCCCACATTAGTTTCTGTCAGGGGTAAAAATTGCAATGTTAATAGCTTTATAAATAATAGGTTAAAGTGTTAAATAATACTTTGGAGCTGAAGGCGTAGCTGTAGTAGTAGAACACTTGCCTGGCACACACAGTGCCTCTAGCTTTATCTCCAGCAATGCAGAAATAGTTACTTAATGCTTTGAGCGGTGTTTCTTAGCAATGGCAGTACATGGACAGTACTGTAGCCTGTAGGAAAGGTACTCTGTGTTTTGAATTAATCATGTATTTTTTATTAGTACAAGTTTGCAGTGCATAATGTGATTACATTTATCATGAAAATTTGTACATGCACATAACCCTTCTTAATGCTTTTCTGTCCTCTTTCCCTCCTCCCTTTTCTGTTCCCTTTAATTTATCGTCCCTTTTCCAATTTGAAAAGCTCATAACAATCCTCACTTTGAGTGAGGTGGTGATGGATATCGGTAATCCCCACACTTGGGAGGTGAGGCAGGATTACAGGGAGTTTGAGGCCAACTTGAATTACGTAGCATGACCCTATCTCAAGAAATAAACAAAACAATATACTTCTAAATTAGCAGGGTGGTGGTCTTGTCTGATATTCATCTTGAAGGAGGCCAAGGCCTGCAGCTTGGATTACTGAGGATTGCAGTTTAAATTACTGTATAACAAGACCTTGTCTTACTCCACCAAGTTAGATCTGCAGTAGTGCCCAAGGAGTGGTTTCTTCAGCACACCTTAGGGAGGGATAGAGAGCAGTGAAGGTGTTAGTATGTGGCATTTCCTTTTCAAAGGTCTGAGGTGTGTGTTTGACTAAACTAGATTGGTTTCAGTGAACTAGGGAGATAGAACAGGGCCTCAGGAATTTGGAGTGAGTTATGTTACTTTTTGTTATTCCTGTGCTGTAGACCAAACCCATAACTTCATGCCAAATAACCTCTTCTGCTGACCTGAACCCCCACCTGCAAAGTTAATAGTAAGTTATAGGTTTGTCTGATTTGTGTAATACTTTTGAGTATTGTTAGGTTGGAAAACAAGAAAAATTCAGCAGTTCCCACCTTAGGGAACATGCTTTTGGTATCTGTCACAGAATATTAGAAAACTCAGAGGGGTTAGTTGCTGAGAGCTGTCTACCCACCATTTGAATTGTGCCATAATCCTGTTAAGGCAAAATTCATCAGTAGTGGTTTTGTTTAGAAGTTGTTTGCTTGCTTATCTTCTCAGTGTAGAAAGTATGTATGTATGTATGTATGTATTCAGGTGTATTAGTTAAATCCGTTGATGTTTATTCGGAGTTCAGCAATTGGAAATAGCAAGCATTAAATCAGTCATGGTGGCGGCACACCTGTAACCCCAGCACTTGAGAGGCTGAGGCAGGAGGATTGTGCAAGTTTGAAACTAGTCTAGGCTATGAAGTGAGCTCAAGGTCAGTCTGAACTGCATAGTGAGACCCTGTCTCAAAAAGACAGAAAAAAAAAGCCAGGAATGGTAGCATACACTTGTAGTCAAGAGGCTGAGGCAGGGGGACTCACCAAGAGTTTGGGGCCAGCCTGGGCTACGTAGTGAGACCCTGTCTCAAAAACAAACACAGCAAGTATTTATGGTCTCACATAGGTTCTGGGAGTCTGGAATCTATTGAGTGGCTTAGCTGAGTGGTTTTGTCTCAGACTCAAGGGTAGCTGTCAAGATTTGTGGTCAGAGTGATGGCCGTGACAGGTCAGTGGAGTTGGGCACTATTGGTCACTTCCATGGCCAGTGGCAGGAGACCCCAGTTCCTCCACAGCGGGTCTTTCCATAAGCCATTGTGTGTCCATCCAGTTTGGCAGCTAATCTTCCCTAAGCCAGCAGCTTGAGAGGGGAACAATGCCTTTATGACGTAAGCTCACAGTCACATGCTGTCACTCCCCCTGAATGCTGGGCCGAGTCACTGAGTCCAGCCTACATCCAGGGGACAGGAGTTTGCCCCCACCTTTGGAAGAGAGGCATGTGGCAGTTTTGGGATGTTCTTTAAACCACTACCTAGGTAAGGCTGGGCCAGGGCTATAGCAGTGTTAGTGTTGTATTAGACAAAATGTCAACTGTTGAGGTCAAATGTCCGGTGGGAAGTATGAAATTACTGATAGATGAGATGATGACGTTAAATCATCCAGAGTAATACTAGGTCATCCATTGGATAGAGCAAAAGGTCTTTTGGCTAACTGGGCACTCAGAAGTGGATCCTTGGATATATGAACGGAGTGGTTACTTGGCACTTAGTGTTGGAGGGGGGCAGGTGTGGTGCACAGCTATAATTCCAGCACTCTGGGAGGCTGAGGTGGGAGGGTCACAAATTCAAGCCCAGCCTGCGTAATTTGGCAAGTTGGTAAGACCCTGCCTCAAAATTTAAAAAAAAGGTCTGGAGATGAAGCTCAAAGGTCCTGGGTTCAATACTCAGTTCTGTCAAAGGCAGGGGTGTTGGCAGTGCCCTGTCCTGTGACACAAGTGGGTCTTTGTTGTGGGCAGTTTCTGCAAGGGTTCTAGACAGGGCTGATTGTGGGAAGTTGAGTCCCTGGGACAGTTGACTGACTGCCAACAATTATTAGGAAAGGAAGTGAACATGGGTGAGCGGAGAAGCCCAGTGCCCTGCAGGGAGTTGAGGAGGATGGACAGCTGTGAGACAAGTGAACCTACAGCTAGTCCTCAGCGCCTGTGTGGTCCACCTGGGAGAATGAGTGAGAAATTGGAGCTCTACTGAGAAGTCTGGGAGTAAAGTCAGGGCTCTCCCAGGTGATTTTTCAGGTAGTTCTGCCAGCCCCACATGATGTCATCTTCTCTTAGTCCCAAAGTATGGAAGCCTATCATTTTTGGTTGATTGGTTGATTAAGTGTTGAGACAAAGAATCTTCTAGTGTCATGCAGACTAATCTTGAACTCCTTGCATAGTCTAGGCTGGCTTGGAACTCAAGGGGATCTTCTTGTGTCAGCTTCTTAAGTACTAGGATTACATGTGTGTGCCACTATGTAGTCTTTTAGTTCTTTTTGAACTTTCTAAAGCCATATAGTCTTGGGTAAGGGCAGTACTGAGGATACAACCCAAAGCCTTGTTCATGCTAAGCAAACTACCTCTGAGCTACATCTGCCCCAATCTACAGTCTTCGTTGTGGGTGGTGATTTTTGGCGGCGAGGGATTTGGTCATAAACTAGACGTGTGCAATACAGCTGACCATGCTTAGTACTGCTTTACTGCATGAGTTGCTGGATACGTACTGTGATTAAAGCATGAGATGTAGGGGGCTGGGGATTTAGCTCAGCAGCATAAGTGCCTGCCTTGGAAGCAGGCAGTCATGAGTTTGACCCGTGGAACCGATAAAAACGGAAAGGACAAAAAAAAAAAAAAAAAAAAAGCATGAGATGTATACATTAATTAAAAATAAAATGGAACCAGACAAAACAGTGGGAACAATATAGGATTTCAGACCCCTCATAGTTAACTATATTCCATGTTGTTACCCTCTAAATAAGTGATCAGACTGTCAGCTTTAGGCCTGCAAAGTCAATCAGGCATACAAGTGTTAAGTTGTTTTTTTTTTTTTTTTTTTACCTCAGTAGCTATCATCTCAGCTGGTGTTGCAAATGAGCTGGTTCCTTAAGTAGGGGGCCCCTCTTCCCTCCCAGCCCCTGTAAAGCATGGTGTAGATTTACTCCACACAACGATTTTCATGTCTGAATGCAACTGCGTAAAAGGCTGAAAAAGCTGAACATTTCTAAATCTACAAGATGCTTGAAGGAAATAGTTTCCCTGGTGTCTTTGGAGGTAGATTAAATGGCACACTGATGCAGAGGGTGAAGTGAGAACTCAGTGAGTGTGTGGATCTGGGAAAGAAAATGCAGCTGGCATGTTTTTTTGTAAATCCTGTCTCCCAGCAGCGTTAAGTCATTGGCAGTGTCGTGTGCTTGGTAAGCTGTTCTTCCCTTGCTTTGATAATCAGTGGGTGGAATGTGAAGAGTTATAGCGGTCTGCACCCAGTAGACCACACTTAGTCAAGGACTACTCTGTAAGTGTCGATGCTGTCCTTTGTACCATAGATGCTGGCAGAGTTGAATAGCTGTGACATTGACTATGAGCTGTGTGACATTGACTATGAGCTGCAAAGCCTAAAATGTATACTTGTTTCTTTTTTGTTATTATTTTGGGGGTGTGGCAGCACAGGGTACTGAACCCAGGGAGCACTGAGCTCCATGCCCAGCTCTTTGACAGTTTCCCATGTGGCTTATATGCATGTAGAAGCGGAAGAGTCCAAGGACAGTGTCAGTGTATGAGACGGACAGTAAATACTTTTTCATTTTTTTGTGTCAGATATGAGCACAGCAAACCATTGAAACAGGAAGAAGCAGCTGCTACAGATCTAACCACAAAACCATCCCTTGCCGCTGCCCCAAGTCTCTCCTCCGGTGCTGGACAACTTGTGGAAATGAATACGGACGAGGCTGAGTCCAGAAATGCAAACCTCCCTGCTGTGGGCGCAGGGTCTGAGGACTGGGTGAACGCCATCGAGTTTGTGCCAGGGCAGCCCTACTGTGGCCGCAGTGAGTATCTGCAGAGTGCAGCCAGGGCGAGGCCGGGCTGGGTGGCGGCCCCAGGAGGCAAGCGCTGCAGCCTCCTCCGTACCCCAGATGCAGCCTGTTCCTAACACTAGGAGTTGGCTCGCCTGAGATGGATGGAGATGAATTCAGGATATTCTAAAAACTAAATCCTCTCTTTAATTAGTAGTTTTTTAAAGACTAAATTTCAGTTCCTCAAGAATTACAGAAACATTCTTTTTCAAATCCAATCTTGGCTGGGGGTTTAACTCAGCAGTGGTGTAAGCACCTGCCTGGCAAGCTCAAGATTGTGAGTTCAATTCCCAGTACCCTCCCCCGCAAATCCAATCTTGGAAATGCCAACCTGAGAGAAACAGTCATGTTTTTGAAGAGTGAAGAAAGTAGTTCACTTGACTCTTGGGTGTTTAATCACAGTTCTTCCTTTGTCCTTTTGGTTAAGCTCTCTTTCAGTTAGGTTCCCTTACAGTTTGTGTTATCTCTTCACCTTTGGCCCTCATCCCTCTCACACATTTGCAGCCGCCCCGGCCTGCACAGAGACCCCCGTGCAGGGCCCAGTGCCCAAGGCAGAGTCTGAGAAGGAGCCAGCTGCAGTGGAGACCAAGAAGCAGCTCTGCCCCTATGCTGCCGTGGGAGAGTGCCGCTACGGGGAGAACTGTGTGTACCTGCACGGGGACGCCTGCGACATGTGTGGGCTGCAGGTCCTGCACCCCGTCGATACGGCCCAGAGGTCCCAGCACATAAAAGTAAGTCTCTAGCAACAGAGTATTGCTGTGGGGACTGGCGTTTGTCCTTTCTCAGTGTTGGTGTGTTTCAGAGAAACATTTGAATCCTAGCACTCTTGGAAGCCAAGGCAGGAGGATGGTAAGTTTAAGGCCAGCCCAGTCAATGTAGTGACTAGTTCAAAACAAAAAGTCAGGAATGCAGCATAGTTCAGTGTCCCTAGAGTCTGTTCTCAGTGTCACTAAAAGGAATTTTTCTTTTGGCTTTTATCATTTTTGTGGCCTTTATAGCTTTCCCACTGAGCTACATCCTCAGATCTTTTTGGCTTTTTTAGTCTTTTTGTGACAGAGTCTCACTGTGCAGTTCAGGCTTCGCTTGAGCTCACTTTGTAGCCCAGGCTCATACTCTCAATGATCCTCCTGCCTCAGTCTCCCCAGTGCTGGAATTAAGGCGTGTGCCACCCTGCCAGGGTCATCCTCAGATCTTAATTTTTATTTTGAGATAAGAGATTGCTAAATTCTGGGTTACTCAGGTTGGGCTTGAATTTGGATCCTCCTGCTTAGTGTGTGGGCAGACTTGGCCAGTTGTTCCTACTCTGCTAATTTTGTCATCTTCAAAAGAAAGCCCATATTCACTAGGAGTCTACTCCAGCCCTTAGCTCCTGGCAGCAGGGGTTTCCATTGGAAGTGGCAAGTGTGTGGGCTTGGTGGTAGGTGCCCTTTCATAGGCCTGATGTTTCCAGGGTTCTGCATGCTGTGCATGTCAGTAAGATGGAGCCTAGGTTGTTGTGCCACTGAACTGCATATCTGACTCTTAAAGATTTTGAGATAGGATTTTGCAAAGTTGTCTAAGTTGCCCAAAATTTGGAATCTTGCCACAGCAACCAGTATCATGGGTGTATACCACCACATCCTGATTGTTTATTCTTTCTTATAGTTGGATGATCATTGTAGGCTGTGTCACGTATTTTTCTGTTGGTTCATGGGCATTTGGATTGTGTTAAGGTGGAACTCTGCTTAGCTATAGTGGTACTGAGAATTAAACCCTAGCCTTCACGTTGAGAGCCACACCTCCAGCCTTTTCTAATTTTTAAATTTTATTTGTGGTTTACAATAAGCTATACTCCCATTGCCTTTTAACTTTTTTTTTTTTTTCTTTTTCTTTCTTTCTTTCTTTCTTTTCTTTTTTTTTTTTTTTGGTCTTTTTCCTTTTTATTAGTATCGGGGATCGAACTCACGCCTGAGCTAAATCCCCAGCCCCTAACGTTTTATTATTTTGAAACAAGGTCTTGCTGCTAAGTTTGCTAAATTGCCCAGGCTGGGCTTCAGCCTGGGGCCCTACTGCCTCAGCCTCCTAGAATGCTAGAATCACAGGCTTGTGCCACATAATTAGTTTTTTTCCTTTTTTGAGACAAGATCTCTTAGGGTAGTCTTGAGCTCAGTCCTCCCTGTTTGAGTCTTGAGTGCTGAAGTACAGGCATACACCACTGCACCCAGCTTTATGGGTGGCTTTTCTGCATTTTCTTTTTCTTTTTTTTTTTTTTGAGACGGGGTCTCGCTATGCAGTTCAGGCTGGCCTTGAGCTCACTTTGTAGCCCAGGCTGGTCTCGAACTCGGAACGATCCTCCCACCTCTGCCTGCCGAGTGCTGGGATTACAGGCATGAGCCACCACGCCCAGCTTATTTCTTGTAACTGTACTTACCACAGATTAAAAGTTGTGATACCCACACAGATAACTCTATAGGGAAGTCATAGCAGTGGTTTTCACTATCCCCTCGAAACATCCTAAGTGTATGTTATGTGGTGAATGGACAGCGGGTGTGTATCCACCCAGTGGACCAAAAGAAAACACAGCTCTATCAGTAGTAACCAAAAACTTGCTGTGTGAAGAAAGAGGGTTATAGCAGCCGTAGCGCTGGTGGATTCCCACATTTGTGGTTGCTGAGGTCTGGGGATTTTGTGGGAAGGAGTAACTGCTAGTGATGATAAAGTTTCCTTTTGGAGGTGATGAGAAGTTTCTAATGTTAACTGTGGTAATGGTTGTCCAGTGTTTAATGCACTAAAATTATTGCATACTTCAGGGGGCAAAGTGTGTGTGTGTGTGTGTGTGTGTGTGTGTGTGTGTGTGTGTGTATGTATTACCACAGTAAAGCTGTTAATTTTCCTAAAGGCATATGAGTGGTTGGGGTAGTTCAGTGGCAGGGCTCTTGCCTATAAGTGTGAGGCTCTGGCCCTGATTTCCAGGACATAAATAAAAATATAAATTAAAAAAAAAGTAAAAAAGCATATGAAACCTGGTGTGGTGGTGCACTCCTGTAATTCCCAGCACTCGGGAGACTGAGGCAGGAGGATTGTTGCAAGTTGGAGACCACTCTGGTCTCCACAAAGTAAGTTCCAGACCAGCCTGAACTACATAGCAAGACCCTGTTTCAAAAAGACCAAAAATAAATAAATAGCTAGCTAACTGGCATATGAAAATTACATGCCTGGCCTATAGTTGTATCTAATAAATGTTCGTTTCTTTTACTTTTTGTCTTTTTGAGACATGGTCTCACTGTGCAATTAGACTTGAACCCCTAGTGGTCTTCTGTCTCAGTATCTCATGTGCTGGGGTTACAGACATGCATCACCACACTGGGCTTCTTTACCTTGTCTTCTCACAGATTTTAAATTAGATCCTTAATTCTAATGACATTCTCCATCTGGAAAACAGAAACTTGACACACACTGGAAAACTGTACGTTCCATTACTGTGAAGCTCCATAATGCCTTTGGGCTTGTTGTCCCCCTCTTCGAGTCAGACTGGGAATGTGTCCCTTCCAGTGATCCATGAACTGTGGAGTCAGTGTCTCCAAGGGTCTAGTGCCTGACTGGCTTGTGCTCTCCCCTTGCAGTCTTGCATCGAGGCCCATGAGAAGGACATGGAGCTGTCCTTTGCCGTGCAGCGCAGCAAGGACATGGTGTGTGGCATCTGCATGGAGGTGGTGTATGAGAAAGCCAACCCCAGTGAGCGCCGCTTCGGCATCCTCTCCAACTGCAGCCACACCTACTGTCTCAAGTGTATTCGCAAGTGGAGGAGTGCTAAGCAGTTTGAGAGCAAGATCATAAAGTGAGACTCCTCCCCATCTTCGTTTGTGCTTTCTATTTTAGGGAAGAATGTAGTATCTTGTGCCAGCTTTCAACCAGACGGATCGCATTTAAATGCATGCATTTTATGTTGACACTGGGTATTCTAATTGGGATTCCTTCTTTGTATCTTGCTAGCTGGAAGAGTAGTCGGCCTCTACTTTATTTGAATGAGGAAGCCCTGTATCAGTTAGTAGGTTTTTCGTGCTTTTCTGAAGAGATTGTTTAATGGATTAGCTAGTTTAGTCTCAGTGGAGAAACTAGCTCTGAATGTATGTTTCCTGACATTGACATTTTCCACTTTCCTATTCCATCCATTAAGCTAGCCAATAATCCACCATCCTTTAAGATTGTTCTCATAACTGAACAAAAACTACATAATCTTAAACAGAGCAAAGTTACAAGAAATAAATTTATTTCAACGAAAGAAAAAGGAGTCTGTGTGAAATGTCTTCTTTTGTTGTTATATTACTATTTTTAGCAAAAATGAACTGGCTAGCTATTGAGCTGAATCTGTGAAGGCATTTGTCCTGCCTCACAGGGCTGGTGTGGGACAGGTGACCCCATCGGGCCGCGCCTGCAGCCTTGTCCCAGCTGCTAAGTCAGGGAGCAAACCAGGGCGTGACCTTGTCCTCTGGCGGGATGAGCACTGCAGCCTGTTCATTGTTTCCCAGGTCCTGCCCCGAATGCCGGATCACATCTAACTTTGTCATTCCAAGTGAGTACTGGGTGGAGGAGAAAGAAGAGAAGCAGAAACTCATTCAGAAATACAAGGAGGCAATGAGGTATGAGCACTGCAGCCTTTCTCAATCCAAGAGCCCAGCATGCTGGGCTCACTTTGGAAAGACCAGTGCTGCATTACACACTCCTACCTCCTTCCTACCCCTTCTTTAACTCCCCAGTGCGGTCTCTTGTCGCCCCAATACTACCTGCCTGGTTTGCATCTTGGTATAACACAGTCCTTGGGGTGCATGCCAAGGGACTGCGTTATAGTCATATCTGTATGGTGGTCGTCGAAGCCTGCGCATGGGCTCTACCTCACCCCAATTCTGAGTCCATGTTGTGGTTGTCCTGTATTAATTCTTGTGTGTTGGCTTTCTAGAAGGTTTGCGTTCTGCTGGATCTACGGTGCTAGAGCTGGTAAACAGCTAGACTTGAACAGAGCTCGTTTGTAGAGTCTCATGCATTTGCACACATCTTGGGGAGGGCTGCACAAAGGCATCTGCCTCTCGCTCCCTGTGTAACAAACCCTGGATGACAGTCACTTTTGGACCTGAAGTCCACTCTGAATAAGGGCTGCAATATTTTCCTTTCCAGCAACAAGGCATGCAGGTATTTTGATGAAGGCCGTGGGAGCTGCCCATTTGGAGGGAACTGTTTTTACAAGCATGCGTACCCTGATGGCCGTAGAGAGGAGCCACAGAGACAGAAAGTGGGAACATCAAGCAGATACCGGGTAACTGTCACTGTTTTCTTAAAGGAGGGGACTGCCACACTATCAGATGAGCCATCACATTTTGGGGGAAAGGCATGAGAAGGTTAATGCTAAGGCCTAGGAGCAAAACTAGATCGCCTTCAAGGAGGAAAGAGCTCAGATCCTGGGGTGGGGTAGCAGGTAGCAGGACAGGAGAGATGAGTGCACAAGGCCCTCCCTTACAGTCTGCAGCAAGCCACCCAGGGAGGCACTGGTCGGGTGGAACTGGAAATCCGAAGTCTGGACGCTGTGCCTTGTAAATGACAGAATAGAAGATACTACCCAGCAGTGCTACCCCTATCATGGCCTTGTTTCTTACAGGCCCAACGGAGGAACCACTTCTGGGAGCTCATTGAGGAAAGAGAGAACAGCAGCCCCTTTGACAACGACGAAGAGGAGGTTGTCACCTTTGAGCTGGGCGAGATGTTGCTTATGCTTTTGGCTGCAGGTGGGGACGACGAGCTGACTGACTCTGAGGACGAGTGGGACTTGTATCATGATGAGCTGGAAGACTTTTATGACTTGGACCTATAGCGGCTTTGTGTGGCTAGGGAACGGCCTGCCGAGCCTCAGACAGTAGCTGTCCCCTGTGCCGTGTGGCAGTGTGTTGCTCTCCTAGGCAGGCCTCAACTCCAGGTGCTGTCGTGACCACTTACCAGGGCCTGCTCTTCACCCCACTTCCCCAAGAGTGTGTCGTTTTCTCTGTTTCAAAAGTTACAAAAATAAATCTTCAAGTTAGTTTTTTTTTGTAACATCTATTTAACTGTCAGACAGTTAGCTTAGGTTTGTTGCGTCACCTGTTTTTGGCCTGGTTGTGTTTATGGACTTTCCACACCCATTTCAAGACCCCCAGGTTCAAATGCAAAAGCACCAGCCGTGCTTGGTGGTCCAAGAGTAGGGGTGACGGGTGAAGGGACCTGAGCTGGCAAGTAAGTAGCCTTCTGCCCTGGATGCGGGACACCCGCACATCTGTGTTTGTGTGTCTGTTCCTCCCTCGTGACCCCACCCCTTGCGGTTGTCCTGTGGTTTTGGTCTCTTTGTTTCATTGCACACACAATACTACTGGGCAGCTAGAACCAGGTGTGAGTGTGAGCTTAGCGTGATAGGAGCACTTTGGAAAGACACACGTGGCATCCATCAGTGCAGGGTTGGCAGTGGACACCCAGGAGTTGAGGACAAGGTGTGAGCATGAGCAGGTGTGCAAGAAGCTTCTGCCCCTGCAGAGATGCAGTATTCTTAGGGTTAGTAGACAGACTTGGTTTTGTGGTGTCAGGCCTATGTTGCCCAGAGATCTGAAAGGACAAAGCAGTGAGTCAGTAGTTGATGTAACTGGGCTAGCTGTCTAGTTACCAGTCGATTAGCCGGGGAGGTTAGTGACCCAAGTATTCCGTACCCACTAAGGCTAGGCTGCAGCGTTGGGTTTTGTGTTTTATGATCTCACTTTTCTGGTCTCCAGGCACTTTTGGAACGAGCTTTGTCTTGGTTGAGGGTGATCACCGCAGGGGTTGTTTGTTTTGGAGGGTGTGCCTCAGTCCACCCCAGCACTGCGCAGGTGGGCGATGTGATGGAAGGCCACACTGCCCCCAAGGTGTGTCTTGTAGTATTGTAACTGGTTGGCAGCAATAAGTCACACTTCCTCTCAGTGGAAGGGTAAGGGGTCCACGAGATAAGAGAAACTAACCTGTTAGAAGGATTCCTCCCTGAGAAGTCTATCTTTGCGTTTTGTCATCTGTTTCCTGAAAGTAACTTGGGAGATGTTCCTGATTTGTCCGTTTTCTGCTCTTGATTTCTCGACCCCACCCCTTCTTTCACTTTAAGAAAAACAAGTTAATTGTTGGCAGAGGTCTCTGTATTTTACAGCTGCCCTTTTGTAAGAAGCACTTTTCCCAAATAAAACAATTTTAAAAACTTGTCTTTTTGCTTTATATAATGAGCTATTTTGAAGCATGCACATGTCAAAGAATAATAATGTTTCTCTCATGAACTCTTCAGTCAGTTCCTCACTTGATTGCATTTCTGTTATCTCTTACATCTTTTACACGGCTTCCTGCCTGCTTAGAAATGTCCAAGACCTTATCCTGGCCTGTCCTGTCTTAGTTGGGGGTGTCCACTGCAGGAGCTGTAGGCGCATGGTCCGACTATCCTACTGTTTCAGAATCTACAAAACCAATTCCAGGTCAACTTCCTCAGCAAAAGGCACTGCCAGTTTTCTGGTGCCACATGCTCCTCAATCGGTCAAGTGTAGGTCAAACATCTTGAAACAGTATTTTTCTTATTAACTGAATTTCTTGCTATATGGTTCAGACTCTTTTTGAACTCACTGTGAAGGCCAGGCTGGCAACATGTGTGTTCAGTGATCCTCCTGCCTCATTTTCCCAAGTGCTAGGATTATAGGCAATGCTCCACTATGCCTGGCCTCAGTCACTGAGTTTTAATGTATAAAATAAGAACCACAGCTGGGTGTGGTAGAGCCCCAGCACTTGGAAGGCTGAGGTAGGAGGATCGCTGTGAGTTTGAGGCCAGCCTGCTTGCACTACACAGTGAGATTCTGTCTCAAAAGAAAAAAAAAAAAAAAAAACTATAAATTAAGTGGCAAGCTCAAGATCCTGAGTTCTATTCCTGGTACCAAAAACTAACCATGCTGCTACTCTCATAGATAAAGACCTTCAGGTGATTTTTAGAACACTTATGGACTTTCACTGTTGGAACTGCCCTGTGTCTTAGGAATTGCGTTAGGGGAGATTTTGGGGTCTTCTAAGTAGTGTGTCATGTCATCTGCAAATAATGATAGCTTGCCTTCTTCTTTTCCTGTCTTTATTGCTTTTATTTCTTTCTCTTGTCTAATTATTTCTGCTAAAGTTTCCAGAACTATGTTGAGTAAGAGTGGAAACAGTAAACATCCTTGTCTTGTTCCTGATTTTAGAGTGAAAACTTTCAGTTTTTGTCCATTTAGTATGATGTAGGCTGTTGGATTGTCATAGATGGCCTTTATCAGATTGAGATAAAGACCAATTTTTTGTAGTTTTTCTGTAGGGTGCTGGACTTGGTCAAAAGTCCATTTTTTTTGCATCTATTAAGATGATCATATGATTTTTGTCCTTGGCTCTATTAATGCAGTGTATTACATTTATGGATTTATGTTTGTTGAACCATCCCTGCATGCCTGGAATGAATCTCCTTTGATTATGGTGTACAGTCTTAACAATTTGCCACAGTCTGTTTGCTGGCATCTTATTGAGGATTTTTGCATTAATGTTCACTAGGGAGATTGGCCTGTAATTATTCTCTTTCTTAGTTGGATCCTTCTCTGGTTTTGGAATCAGGGTAAATGCTTGGTTCCAGGAATGAATTTGGAAGTATTACTTCCCTTTCAGTTTCATGAAAGAGTTTGGGAAGTAGTGGTGTTAGGTCTTCACTAAGTTTATTGTAGAATTCAGCAGTAAATCCATCAGGGCCTGGACTTTTCTTTGTTGATAGGCTTTTAATTACATCTTTGATTTCATTTATTGATACTGGTTTATTCAAGATTTTTATATTTCTTGATTCAGCTTTGGTAATTCATATGTATCTGGGAATCTGTTCATTTCTTCTGTATTTTCTATCTTATTAGAATATAAGTTTTCAAAGTAGGTAGAAATAATTTTCTGGATTTCTACAGGGTATGTTGTAATTTTGCCCTTTTTATTCCTAATTGGGTGGATTTGAGCTTTTTCTTTACTTTTTTTGATGAGGTTGGCTAAGGGTCTGTCAATTTTATTCTTTCAAAGAACTAACTCCTCAATTTTATTCATTCTTTGTGTTTTTTTTTTTTTTTTAAGTCACTAGTGTGTGAATTTCTGCTCTGATCTTTATAATTTCTTCCCTTGTATGACCTTTTGGTTTAATTTGCTCTTTTTCTAGAAGTTTGAGGTTCAACATTAAGTTGTTATATGCACTTGCTCTGTTTTCCTGATACTAATATTTATTCTTTTTTTTTTTTTTTTTTTTTTTTTTTGTCTTTTTTTGTTTTTATCGAACTCACGACTGCCTACTTTCAATGCAGGTGCTTATGCCGCTGAGCTAAATCCCCAGCCCCTAATATTTATTCCTATAAATCCCCCCCCCCCCCGCCCCTTTTTTTTTGGTACCAGGGATTCACTCATGACCTCGTACTTGCCAGGCAGGCACTTATACCATTGAGCTAAATCCCCAGCCCTAAATTTCCCTCTGCTTTCATTGTTTCCCACAAGTTCCAGTATGTTGTATTGTCATTATCATTCAACTGTAAAAACTGTCCAGTTTCTTCAATTTTATCTGTGACCCATTGGTTGTTCAGTAGGGTGCTATTTAATTTCCATGTGTTTATGAATTTGTTGTGGTTTCCTTTGGCATGGATTTCCTGTTTCATTGCACTGATAGTATGCATGAGATAATTTCAATTCCTTTACATTTATTTAAGCATGTTCTGTGAGCCAGTATGGGATCTATTTTGGGGAACATCCCGTGTGCAGCTGAAAAAAATGTCTATTCTGATGCTGTGGGGTAGAAGACTCAATGGACATCTACTAAGTCATTTGCTCAAAAGTTTGATTTAGTTCTAATGTTTCATTATTGATTTTTTTTTTTATTGAGTTGATCTGTCTTTTTGTGACAGTGAGGAATTGAGGTCTTCCAATACAATTGTATTAGGGCTTATTTGATTTTTTATGTCCATTAATAATTGTTCTATATAGTTGGGTACACTGGTATTTGTTGCCCATATATTTATGATTGTTATCTCTTCCTCTGGATTGTTCCCTTTACAAGAATGTAGTGACCTTTTTAATCTCTCTTGATCAGTCTTGGCTTGAAATTTCACTTTTTCTGCAAATAGAGTAGCTACCTCTGCTTTTTTTCTGGATTCCTGTTGCATGGAGTACTGTTTCTATTGACTTTCAGTCTATGAATTTCTTTTTGAACTTAATGTTTCTTGTGTGCAGCATAATGTTGGATCTTGCTTCTGAATGATCCATCCTGCCAGCCTGTGTCTTTTGACTGGTTGAATTGAGATCATTAACAGTAATGGTTAAAGCTGATATGTATTGACTTATTCTTGTCATGTTATTTTCCTGTTGTTGCCTCCTCCCTTTTTTTTTCCTTCCCCTTCCTCTAATTGTTTGCCTTCCCTGGTGGATTCCTGCTGTTGGGGTTCATGAAGCTGTAGTCCTTATTATCTCTTGCTAGAATGTCCTTCAGAACATTTTGGAGTGCTAGTTTGGTGCTCATAAATTTCCTCAGATGATCTTTGTCACGGAGCTATCTTATTTCTCCATCAATTTTGAAAGATAGTTTTGTGAGATACAGCAATCTGGGTTGAAAATTGTTTTCCTTTACAACTTGGAGTGCTGCACTGTAAGCTCTCCTTGACTTGAGAGTTTGTACTGAGAAATCACCTGTGATTCCGATGGGCTTTCTTTTATAGGTGATTTTATTTTCCCTAACAGCTTTTTTTATCCTTTTTTTTTTTTTTTTTTTTTTAATCGGTACCGGGGATCGAACTCACGACCACGCACTTGCAAGGCAGGCACTTATGCCGCTGAGCTAAATCTCCAGCCCCCTTCCGTAACAGCTTTTAAGATTTTCTTCTTGTGTTGTTGAATTTTTTTTTTTTTTTTTTTTTTTTTTTTTTCTTTTCTTTTTGAGTCAGGGTCTCTCTACGTAGTTCAGGCTGGCCTTGTTCACTTTGTAGCCCCAGCTGGTCTCAAACTCTGAAACAATCCTCCTGCCTTAGCCTCCCGAG